GGCAGGATGAGATGAGAGGCAGGATGAGACGAGAGGCGGGATGATACGAGAGGCGGGACGAGACGAGAGGCGGGACAAGATGAGGCGAGACAAGAGGTGGGATGGGATGAGAGATAAGAGGCAGGACGAGACTAGAGGCGGGACAAGATGAGAGGTGGGACAAGACGATAGGTGGGACAAGATGTGAGGCGGGATGAGACAAGAGGTGGGACAAGATGAGAGACGGGACTAGATGAGACAAGATGAGAAGTGGGACGAGGAAAGACGAGAGACAAAATGAGAGGTGGGACAAGACTAGATGAGAGGCAGGATGAAACGAGAGGCAGAACGAGACGAGAGGTGGGATGAAATGACAAGTGGGACGAGAGGCAGGATGAGATGAGAGGCGAGACAAGATGAAAGGCAGGACAAGATGAGAGGCGAGACAAGATGAAAGGCAGGACGAGACGGGACGAGACTGGACGAGACGAGCGGTGGGACAAGATGAGAGGTGAGACTTGGCAGCAACATCTGGCCAAACAGACATACTGCATCTGGAGTTAGTTGAAGCCGCCTGTCTGTGTTTTTTACAGCGTCTCTCCAATGTAAAAGCAGAGCACCAGCTAGTGAGCTAATATGAAGATCAACAGTATAGGGATAGACGTACGAAGGAAAAATATTACTTAGAAGAATACATTACTTTATAAGATGAAACATTTTACTTATAATGTATTTCAATGTAGCCAATTTTCTCCCGAAGGACAAGAGTGTAGTAAAGTTACTGTGAGGATACAGAAGCATTTGAAAAAAATGTGACTACATTAAAAAAAATTAAAAAAAATTGAAGGATTAAATAAATATATAGAAACATGAACAAAAATAAATGCACAGCTGATTTTTCTCCAAAAGACAACAGAAGGGTTAAAAAAGTAGTGCACTGGGTGGAACAAAGGGACCTCTCACCCTGGACTGTTTGTGATGCCATTTATCCTCAAGAGATAACAAGGATGGGAACGAATGAGCAACAGCTGCTGGCAAACTTATTCCTGATGATTTTACACCAAATTTGGCAGCGGAGCCGGAGTGATTAGCTGCTAGTTCACTGCTGTATATACAAATCACACTGCACTCAATAAACCGCACCTCACCTCTTCCTTCCTGCTCTCTCTCTCCGAGAAGAAACCGTGCGAAACAATAGTCTGTGTTTGCATGCAGATAGATAAGAAGGTAATAAATGGTTGTTAAAACACACATCACTTCATAAGAACCTCTACAAACACGAAGGAATATGTTTTTTTTATCGTTCTGTCTGCGGTTCGAGGCCCAGATTTATGATGAGCAGCTGCAAAAATCAGGTTACAACAGAGTTCTGTAACACGAGAAATCACTTATTGTCTAAATCAAGAGTTCTTGGACGTTTCTCTTTCTTTCATTGGGTTTTGCCTCATCTTACAGTCTTCGAACTGAACACGGAGAGAAGCAAAAAGAAAGAATTGTCTGTTTGGGGTAAACCAGCATGGATAGATACACCTCTTGTCCAAACCACTGGGGTGACTCTCCCAAGACCAAGCCCTGTAATTTGGGACAGATGTCGGTGCAGTTTTAAAATAAAAGTTTAGTATTGCTCCCAGACCAAGTCCTGTGGTCTGGCCTGTTTGGCGAAGAATCTGCGTCCTAAAAGAATACATTTTTTCAGTTATTGCTCGTCCTTCTCCTCAGAGCTGCTTTATGTGTGGTTTGGCTGATTCACTCTCATGTTCATCTTATTGCTTACATGTTTTATGTTATTGCAGTTATATTGGGAGTCAGATGTGTGAAACTAACATTTTTTTTTAAACAATTTTGAAAAGAAAGAGCCAGATTTTTACTGACAGTAAGAAGACATGGCCTCTGGAACTTATTAAATCACTGCCTTTGGAAACAAAGTCTTTTAAAGTGCCTGTTTTATGATCTTTGAAGTTATGAGGAAAAATTGTAAACATTTAATTTGCTGTGCATTACAAAATTATATATTTGAGATAGAAGTTTTAATGTAGCAGCAAGACTGTTCGGACAAGCTGTTAACTCCTGTCAAAATATAACAGTTTCTCCAAACTGAGACCTTAAAGTGAGTTATCTACAACAGGTAAGATGTTATATGTTCATAAGCTTTATGAACAAAAAAAGCCAAATCTTCCAGCTCTTCTTGGAGGACTCCAAGGTGTTCCCAGGCCAGAGTGTCCTGGGTCTTTAATGCGGTGTCCTCCCAGTCAGACATGCCCGAAACACCTGAGGCGTCCAGGGTTCATCCGTACCAGATACTTGAACCACCTCAACTGGCTCGTCTTGACGTGGAGGAGCAGCGGTTCTACTCCGAGTTTCTCTTGGATAACTTCTCACTATCTCTGAGGGAGAGTCCAGCTTCTTTGCAGAGGAAACTCATTTTGGCCACTTTATCCGCAATCTCGTTCTTTCAGTCACTTCCCAGAGTTTGTAATCGTAGGTAAGAGTAGGAACATATACAAACAGAGAGCTTCTCCTTGCAACGCAGCTCCCTCTTCACCACAACAGACCGCCCCAGTGTCCACAGTACTGCTGAAACTGCACCGATCCCTCTGTTAATCTCACGCTCCCTTCTTCCCTCACTCCTGAACAAACCACCGAGCTGTTTAAACTCCTCCACTTTAGGCAGCAACTCAGAATCTGAACTGTTGTTTTAATTTTGGCTTAAGGTTCGTTTTCACTTAACTGCACGAATGAGGGACCATGAACTCACCATGTCCACTGTCCAGAAACTCAGTGATGATGGCGGCGCTGCAGGGGGACCAGGGGCTGGTGCGATTGATCTGAATAAGTGTGGGAGACATCATGTGGTTCTCCTGCAGTTTCCCAAACACATCTTCACAAGCTTTCACGTTGTCGTGTGGCATGTTGAACACATGGCCTGTTGGGAAGGAACGAGACGTCAGGTGTGTCTCGTAAACACATGCATGAAGGAAATGTATGAAAAATAAGAACTCCTATTGATTGAAAGAGGGTGACAAACCAAGTTCATGAGCAGTGGTGAAGGCTGAAGGCAAGCCGTCGTCTTCAATCACCGAGCAGCTCCTCTTCGGGTCGCACATGGTGCCGACATCCGCCATGCCAAGAGTGTCGCAGGTGGACGCTCCACACAGGTCCTGTGGATTTCAACAACAGGACGTCTGAGACGGGCGAGTGAAGAGCACAAGACTGTCAATAACAGAGTTTCTGTTCATTTAGACACAGAGAAGACCTTCCATAAAACAAGCAGGAGTTATGCTGCAAAGGTTTTAACAGCAAAACCAAACGAGTTATTAATATTTTTCATCTTACGCTGCAACTTAAATTGCCGAAAGCTGGAAAAGAATATGATGCTTGGCTTAATGATGAGAAATAACTCGCCCATGCTTCCAATGAAATATGAGTTCAATTTGCTAAACGATTGCTCTGTAATTTTTAAAAGATGGATTTATTTAAAAAGGCTTTAACTTAAAAAAAAAAAAAAAAAAAAAAATGTCCTCAGAGATCAGCTTTTAAAAGTCCCTTAGGAAGTTTTAAACACACTCTAAAAGATTTTTAGCCAATTTTTAAGCTTTATATGATGCATTTCTGGAATAACTTCATTCACTTTTATGCAAGAATCCTTCCTTTGGTACCAAAGGTTTACCACACAATTCCAGGCAGGAAACTTTGTTTCTGCCATTTATTCATTCACCAGTTCATCCATTCATTCATGTCTGCTTGTCTACTGTATCATTCTGAGCTGCGCCAGCTGTCTGCCATTTAGTGCTTTTAAAATAAGATGAACAAGTAAAATATTTAAAGAAATGCTCTTGATCCAACAGTGACTCTCAAAATTATGACAGAATTTCTTCACTTGGCTCGTTTTTCTCTTCCAGACTAAAGTTTATATGAACGTGTCTGCAGCTGAGTCTGGCTTTATGTCGAGATGTCACCTGGTTGACAGGTTTTAGGAATTAACTTGACTTGGAGGAATGTTGTCTCACAACAAGTAGAATTATTGAACGTTCTTTGTAGGCGTGTCTTTTTTTTTTTTTTTTTTGGAAGGGGTCAGACTAGTGTGCTGGAGATTTGGAAAAGATTTAGTTGTGCCTTCCACCACCCAGTCTTTAAAAGCTTTTAGTGGTTAACAATGTTTAGAGCACACCTTCTGCTATGAGGTCATGTAACCAAAGCATTTCCACGGCAGAGCTGAGTTTTCCAAATGACCTATTTCTCCACCGCTGGTCTTTAAAAGACAATTTTAGCCAGTGTCCATTTGGACCTTAACCCTATAATCACAAGACAAAATCAGCTCCGAACGCCACAAAGAACTGCCCATCAGCCTGGTACCAAAACAGCCCTTCAGCGCTTTGCATTTCCAAACATGCACCTCGATGCTCGGCGTCACACACCACTAGATGAGCTCAAGCGTTCCTCAAAGGTCTGAAGACATCAATAAAACCTGGTGCCAAGTGAAGACCTCGAGTGCTCTGACATATCTTTCCAAGAAACAGCTACAAAAAAAAAAAAAAAGAGCACAGTTGTTGACCGGTGCAAATCGAGTCCAGATGTGCTCGTGTGCAGAGACGACATGTGAAAGCTTGGGTCAGTTGAGTTTTTTAAAAAAAACTCACACTCTGAGATGAGCAGAGGAGAAGAAACAAATGCTGTATCTCTGCTATGACCTACTTCCCACATCTGTCAGCTTTCTTTGTATTTTGAGGTTTTCCTGCAATTCTTATCATCGCTGAAAGATTGTTGCACTTTTACCCATTGTGCTTCGGGGTGCACAGTTTTTGAGCAACAGTCAACAGTATCACAGTTTCTGATGTCCAAACATGGACATAAGTCTTTCTCAGCTCAGTATCCAACAAGTAAAACACATGAGCTGCAGCACAGCCTCTCTCCCGGGGAAAACCTGCAGATTTATAGTCGGAGTTAATCTTTTGGCCACTCTTTGAGAGTAATCAGTTCGTAGCATAATGAACTGAGTAATCTTGCAACATTCTTTTCACAGCAATCAGGCTGTTTGTGGAATTTAAACACAGCCACAGTTGCCTCTGGACATCGTCAAGTTGGTCTTCATAAAAGCTGCAAAATGACTCTGCATGCTGGTTAACGGCTCACAGTGGATCAGACTTAAATGCAGATTTAAAGTCATGGTAAACAATAAAACACTTCAAGTAAATTGACTCATTTAGGACAGTTGTTGGAATTTTTACCCAGGTGAAGGTTGATTACTGGCAAAGATGCGTGCAAAGCCGGAAATCCCTTCGGTCTGAGGAGAGGATGCATCTCTAAGCAAACTAAAGACTAAAGGGTTTTGTCAAATGTATTTGGTAGTTTTAAGCTGTATAAGATCTGACAGTTTCATATGCAGACTATGCTGAACTTTTCATCATGTAGGATACAGATCTATGGTGAGACATGGTTATACCAGCTGGGCCTTCAGTTAGGATGTGATGCATTAACATCCAAACAAAGTCTAATGGTGAAGTCTCTAAAAAGTCATCAATCTCATCACTTTACTTCCAATCTCACAATTTAGAAACTTACTTGCAGGAAGTTCTTCCCACTTTCTTATCCATCAGGTACAACAGCTGACTCTTGGTGTCATCATTTTTTACAGTCACTAATGACAATCTGAACATAAATGTCAACCCAACACTAAACAGAACTAACAGGGACAACCCATCTGAACACAGAATCTGAAAAAGTCCACCCATTTCTGTCCCAGGATTACCCAGCATGCCCTGTGGCTCACCCGGCCTCTTGTTCAAGTACAACAATAATTCTGACTGAAATGTAACGGTAACATGTAATGAAACCAAAAATGCACCTGTAATATTTAAAACCGTCAATTTAAACATAAATGGAATATTTAACCTTCATCTTTTAGAGTAACTACAATTTCTGTGTGGATGCTAGAATTTAAAGGTAGCAACTGAATGCATCACGAATCTTCACATGGTCAAAACAGATGCCTGCAGTGCCTTCCTGAAGGCTCAGAGCTCAGCGTGTTGGTCCCACCCACTCTACATCAACATTCTGATTGGTTCATTTTCCTGTCGGTTATGAAGCAAACTCATCCTGCAGAGACTCTGACGGAGCTCGGCCTTCTCTCCTGACAGTGAAGTCCTGACCAACGAGAAAGAAGCTTCGAGCATGTTTCTGACTAGACAAACATTTTTTAAAGAATCTGATTGGATAACTGGATTTTCATGAGTTAAAAGGTTTCTTGCTCAACTGCAAAGTACTTTATAGAAAATAAGATAAATAAGCTGCTTGGAAAATTTATATTTAAAATAAAATAAATATTAAATCAAAATTCAAATGTAACATTTCATACTGTATGTGCTAAACGCTTAGGTCTTCTCTGACGACATAGAAGGCCCTGAGGGTTTCCCTTGAATATAGATAATGTAAACTTAATACTAAAAAAAGACGAAAAAAACAGTAAATGTGTTTTTTGGGGCGGGGGTCATTCCTTTCACTTTCATTCCTCGCTGTACACAAAAAGACCTTTACAATACTAACTTCTAAAGTTGATCAAAAAACAGAAACTTTGTTTGATGCATGGAACAACACTTGAGCTTCAAACCGTCAACATAAAAAAGATTCCACCTCACTATGTTGTTCAAAAGTTCAATTTATGGGTGCTGCCATGTTGTATTTTCAGAGACAGGGTTTGGGATTTGATGCTGAAAGTCCTGCCTACTTCTCTACACACTGTCATGGGGGTTCTTTAAAGCATCAAATAACTCTACTAAAATTTATTGAAAATGATGTAGTTGAGTTTACTCAACTACATCAAACTTTACACATCAAGAAAAATCAACACCTGGAAAAAAAAACCCTGATGTATTTTTGTGTTTTAGTCAAACAAGAGGATCTAAACCTTTACAGGGGGCAGCCTGCAGGGGGCGCTGGTGCAGTTTCTGGTTCTACTTCAACATTGTGTTCCTGTGTCTACATATTCAAATAAACAAATTCTCAGTTTAAACCCAACAAATTGCTTCTTTTATATTTTTATGAATAATAACCTGTTTTATAACAAACATGTGGAGTTTATATTTGTGAAATGGCACTTAATGTGTAACTTAAACAGTTCAAAAGTAACTTGTTATTGACAAATTGTACAAACGTTCTCACAATTCAATGGATTTCCATTAAAAGCCTTGATGTATTTTTATTTGAATGACATGTTTGACATGGGTCAACATACTATTTACTTTAAGCCTCAGCTTCTATTAATTCTCATCTTCACTCAACTAAACTTGCTTGTTGAATGAAGCCATGCATCTTTCTCTGTTTAAGACACTATGTCTCAATGTCCTTGTTAGATGTTGTTTCATTCATTTAACACAAATTACATAAATTATTTGTTTAAGCTAAACTGCAACTGATTCACCATATTTTCCATATTGTTATTCTTTATCCAACAAAATGTTTATTTTAAACTGCTGCATAAATCTACCCTGTATCTGCACATTGTAACCTTTTTTTTTTTAACAAGTATTGACCTTTCAGGCTCTCGTGAACAGTTTATTTTATAAGAAATTCCACCCGTCCTTTATTTTTCCAAACACAGTCTGGGCCACTGATGAGAAGTTTTCATACTTTGACCATTTCTTCTGATTGTTCTGCTTGTTATAGTTTGTGAAACCTCGGCTTGATGCATATGAGGTCACCTGAATGCATGTGAACTGGAGCTGTGACGGGATCTCTTGACGCCTGTTTTTATTTCTTTTCTTTTTTTCAGTTTTATACTGCAAATTGTATCCACATGGTCGGGTTTGTTAAGGTCATCTGAACTGGCTGCAGAATTTATAACGTCAGCTGTGCTTACAGTCGAAATCTGGAAACACTTTGACTGTACGTGTAATTTTTTTCACTCTTCTCTGAAGCTGGATGTATGAACATCAAACAGAACCAGAACAACAGAAAATGACATTTATGTCTGAGTTGTAGTGAAGGTGCAGCTGAGGCTGTGCAGAGCTTCCCCTCTCAAACAGCTTGTTTCACTGATGTGATTCTCATGTACCTCTCCCTTTAGGAGCCGGTTTAATGAGGAGCAGGCAGGGCGGTGGGTATGACTGGAAACCCCCCAGCCAGAGGAGCATGGGAAGGGCTGGAGGAAACAAGACACGTCCAACAAGTGTATCCCCGAGGGCAATGACGTTCACTGCATTTTATAAAACACTGCATGTCACAGTGACCCAGGCCAAAAGGAATTCAGCGCTGGCTTTTTAGTGGCTCTGAATTTGCACTTTCTTACTTCAGCTCATTAAATCCGTCCTTTCTCAGTTACTGAGCAGTGTTTCTGTTGGGTTGACCAGCCATCTTCAGCTCCAAGTCACAAAGGAAGCTGTTCATGTCACTGACAAGTGGACGGGCCCTGACCTCATCACTGACACTGTCATCGACCAAGTATGTGGGAGTGCAGACAAGTCTGAGTGGTTCCTAAAGCTATACTCTCCTTGGGTCCAGAAAGAGCCATCAGAACCAGTGCTTTGCTCAGCTCTTTAGTGGCTTCACATCAGAGTCAGAGCTGAGTGTCAGAGCAAACTAATTAGATGACATGGTGGATTTAGAGGAGCAGCCTGTCATAAAAAATACCAAGTTTCTTGCAAAGTCGTGCAAAATAGTTTCCAAAAACCTCAAACACATCAACCCACTTTTTTTTTTTTGTGCCAAATTTCTCTACTGAATGTGAACCATTAATTTCTCCCCTGACATCTGCGACTTTACCTCTCTGGTGAAAAGGATCGCGGTGTCCCAGTAGTCCGGGTGCTTGTCGTTATGTTTGTTCAGCTTTTTCTGCCATGTGCAGAAGTTCCGCAGCGTCATGGCTGCGTTCCCGGACACCTTGGGTCCTTTGTCCTCCTCGTGTATGATAATAATCTTCACCACCGTGATGCTGATGGAGTTGAGGATGCTGGGGTGCCTGTAGAGCCTCGCTGCGACCGCCATCAGAGTCAGGAGGTAGTGCTTTAGCTCGTCTCCGTGGAAATGCGCCATGGACTCGTCCGCCACGACGAGCGTCTCCACGAACCTGGGCACGGAGGCGAACCTCTTGGCTCTCCCCATCCTCCTCATGGTTTCGTTCGCGTTCCTATAGTCCGTGATGTGCTTGTACTTCTCCAACGACTGCGCGACCGAGAGGCTTAAATCGTTGTCCACTGCGCACCTGGAGGCTGAGCCGCGCTTCAGACCCGTGCTGGTTCTGCGCCGGATGATGTGCGCAACCTGCGCGCTCCGGGTGCCATTCTGCGCCGGGCTGATGAAATACTCCCATCCCTGGAAGCCAAACGCGCCGTTTAGACCTTTGCAGAGGCTTAAAGCTGCGTAGGAGTCCTTGTCTCCGTTGACATACCCGGAATAAAAGCACCGGCTCAGGTCCGGGCTGAGCGCAGCACCGGGGAGCCAGAACGCGTCTTGGTTCGAGATGGAAGGCGCAATAAAGTTAGAATCCTGCCGTAAGTCGATTTTTAATTCCTGCTGGAAAGCTTTTAACTTTATGACACACTTTTCATCCCTGATCTCCACGTCGTTGTCAGAATCCCTCCTGTCAGGGTTACCCAGTCTCACCGGAAAGCAAATCTCACTTTCCATGCAGCAAACGGACCTTAGGAGTGGGAGCGCAAAGCAGAGAACAGTTGTTCTGATAAACATGACTGTGTTTGCATTCAGCAGAGAATGCAGCAATCATCAAGGTTAATAAAGTGTTGAGCTCAGAGGAAGCTGTGAGAGCCACAGATCAGGACCATGATCCAGAGCGCGCGCACGGTTCTCAGAACAAGGCCGGTCCACTCAGAGGAAACTCCTCCCGGTCATGACCCACTTCCATCTTCCACCTGTGAGGACTGAGTCTGGCTGCTGCCTTCTCGGAACTTTATGTGTGAAAATATGGAAACCCAATCTCTGTTGCTGGAGGCATGCGCTCATTGGATGCACCTTCTCAGCTCTGCACTTTCTGCCGCGCAACTCGAAACTGTGCAAACAGCAGGCCTGTCATCGTGCGTCACTACAACGACATATGAGTAATCTGCATTTGCACTATGAAAACCTTCTACCTCCTCATAATCTGCACATGCATCAACATCTGGCCCCACTGAGAAAATGGAGTTATCTTAATTGCACATAAAACTCGGATACCTGTGGGAATTATTCACGAGATAAATCATAAATAAAGATGTGACACAAACCACATGTCTGTGTTTTTCATCTTAAACGTCCTGCAGGAATATAAAGCCTGCAGTTTGACTGTCAGGGTGTGTTTGAGTGAAACACACGACATCTGGTGGACAAGAAAATATAAGAATATTAAAAAAGGAGTCTAAAGAGTATATGCGTACAGTACATTCTGTGCAACATCAGTGACGCCAGAAGTACAGAGGTGATGGGAAGTACATTTACTCAAGTTTTGTTGAAGCTTTTAAGTAACATCTATTGCTTTACACAAGAATAAATTGCATTAATTATTTGAAAATTGTTTGCAGATTAAAACTTTTTCATTACAGCTAAAAGTAATAAAGTAACAGAATGCCTTTTTTTTACAGCACATGTCACCTAACAACAATAACAAAACAAAAGATTATCCATACTTTGATAAAATATTATGCAAACTGTTTTTAATAAAAAATAAGTTAGCACTTTGAGGGATTCAAAATTGTGT